TAGCAAAGATTGGGAGGGGGTGTGAAGGGTGTGAGCCGCTGTAGTAGAGAAAGCATTTTTTTTTTAATTTTTAGAACACGAAAAGTATTGTCGTTTGCTTATCAGGGACGTCTGAAATATATCACATCGCCAACACTGAGTGTAAGGTATGTGAGGTCATAAAAGGTACGTAGAATCAGAATTCAAACACTTAGAGGAGAAGAAAAAAGGTTTGAATTTAATTGAAATCACCTCACCCGTGTAGAAAACTGCTCGCTGAAAGAGACTATTCACTCACAGCCCTGTCACCATAAAACCTTAAAACCTGCTAGTTCGGATATTGCACCTATGTGATGATTCTTTAACTTAGAATATTTCTATGTAGAGGGCACAACAAACTTCGAAGTAAAGTCTGAGAGATTAGCAGTTCTGTTCATTGCACTTCATTTTGATTCAAAATAAAGCAATTTCCTTCATTGACATTTTTGCTTATCAAACGTACGGCTCACGATGATGGTGTCGCAAAGAAGGAGGTTGGAAACGATGAAAACTTCAAATTGTACTTAAGGAATCATATCTCGACCACACTACTCCGGAGGAATTTGAAAACGCAACTTTATTGCTACAGTTAGGCTTACCGTCCACACTAATCCGTCAAGTAAAGGGAGCTTCTTAAAACCACTCTTCAAGCCGGAGCAATTTGAAAACGCCGGCTTCGCGTTTTAGTGTGGACGGAAAACAATTTGAAAACGGAGCTATTAGAAAATGATGATGTAACGATAACCATGTGATTTCCCTGCCCGAGTTTTTCCTCAAACACAAATATTTTGTTCTCGGAAATATTAGCTCGTCAAGCTACTCTGAAATTCGAGCTTAAAAAAAGTTTATGTATGTGTATGTATGTATGTACGCACCGGTGACTGTTGCGTTTTCAAATTTCTCCGACGTAGTGTGAACGGGGCCTCAGAAACGTGTTCGAAGGGCCCACGGACAAACGGAGATGAATAGCGAGCAACCTAATGGGGGAGGGATGCTCGAGAAAATGCACCAGCGATCCAGTTTGCGTTTCTTAATGCGTTCCCTCCTTGACGTCGTCATTCCTTTGTCCTTTTGTGGTCCATATTGCGTTTTAACAACTTTTGGTTTTCTGTGTTCTGTTTATGTGTTCCTTATTGAGTTCTCCTAGCGTTATCAGTTAAGCTCTATTTTTTGCCCCGTTTCTGCCTTTCTTTTTGCAGTCCGTTTTTTTTTCCCTTTTGCATTTCTCTTTTACGCTCCGTATTAGCGTTCATCCTTCTGTTACGCTTTTGAAATTCCTTTGCGTTCTCCTTTGGGTCCTTTTTATGGTGGGTTCTAATCGGGTTACGATTTTGCTTTCCACTCTGCATTCAGATTTTGCGTTCCCATTTACATTTTGTCACTTTCCTTTGACTTCCTTTACCTTTTTCCCCTACCCCTCCCCTCAGCCTTTTGCACTCCTTTTAACCTTTCCCTTCTTTTTGTGTTTCCATTTTGCTTTTTGCTTTACGCTTTGGTAATCCCTCAAAAATTCCCCTTTGTCTTCTCATTCGCGTTTCCTTAATCGTTTTTCTTTTGCCTTTCCTTTCCTTCCCGTGTTCTATTTTGTACTCAATGTATTCGTTCCCTATTGTGTTCCTTTACTGCGCTTCCTATAAGGTTCCATAGATGCGTTCTGTTTGTGTTGCATTTCCCATAACTTTCCTTTTCAGTGTCTCCTTTTGAGTTCTATTTTTCTTCCTTTCTTGCGTTCCGCCGAGGGATCCTTCTTTGCTTTTCTTGCGTTCTCCGTTTTTGCCTTCCCTCTTTTATTCCATTTTGTGTCGTGTCTTGCGATAATTTCCTTTTTGCACTACCAAATTCTCCGCCCGGCGCAGTAGACATATAGAGAGTACCACGAGGTTCCGCCCTCGAGGGATATCTTTTTTCAGTAGGTATGTTTAAGGGTAGATTTTTCAGGAACTGAAGCACTAAAAAGGATAGTAGAAACTGTCATCTAAAACGAAATGGTTTTTGTTCAAGGATCAGTATTTTCAATTTCCTGGCTCGGGGCGATGAAACGTGCTGTACCAAGCATAAAAACCTAGAAGAATTCCGAGAATAAAACACGTGGCAAAGCAGACAGGAAAACTCTTGCTGACGTTGTTGTTTATATTTTGTCTTATTAGCGTACGACTTTTTTTAGAGAAGGCATCATCCTAGATAAAGGTCGAGTGACTACAAACATTTCAACACCTTGTGAAATTGAAGTTAATAATTGATAAAATGTTTAGCTTTTGTGGTGTACTATCAAAGGAGATATATAGTACCTTTTAAAAACTTTGAAATTTCTGGGCAGCAAAAAAAAAAAGCCTAATGAGCAGATACAATCTTTGTTAAATTTTAAGTCTTTAAAATCGCGTCACAAAAAGGTATTCAATGCTCCGGGCACAATTTACTTGGCACAGTTAAAAGTGACATGCACTTTCAATACTAAGAGGTTATGCCAATGAGACAGATGTAAACAAAGATTCCCCTAAAAAAAAATGAACAGCTCGTTTCCCCTGACAGGGATCTTGCTATTAGCAGAATTTGTTCCATTTTCAAACATAATGTATCACTTTCAAGGCACGTTCATTTCATTGTTCGTGGCATATCAAAGTCCCCGAGACAGTGAGAAGAAGTCTGTGGAAATTATTAGCTTTTATTACAAATAGGATCACTGGATAATGCAGTTTAACCATCACGGCATAGGAGTAACAAATATGGTAAGCGGACACGTAATTTCTGGGGCTTTTTATTATTATTATTATTATTATTATTATTATTATTATTATTATTATTATTATTTTAGTTCTCATATTTTGGAGACAATTTTAATAACACAGCTATTCCAGTCGCGCTTGTTGGACATGACATGATTATAGCCAACTGAGCTCTACGCTCCTCGTTGGCTATCTATCCTCTCATATCCAACGCCCGCTCGTGGAATAATTNCGACTTACAGCTGCGCTTTCTTTTCTGCCACGCTGGCACATTTTGTTGGTCTGTCTTGTATATTTTTTTTCGCGCATAAACGTCGTCGTCTTTACCGCGAATCGTAAATTCAAATTTCTACAGCACGACGACGCGGGACTATAAGGTGACCCAACGGCGCCGTCGTGCGAAAGTCGTCGATTCGTAAGCTCCCTATTGTTAGAGTTTTCGCGGCGTACCCAAAGAATATGAAATGCTTTACAAGGAAACCATGTTATGGGAACACCAACATGTCAGCCATGACGTCATGTCGCTCCATATGTATTTAGAATTTAGCGGGGTTAAGGTAAATAAATATTCAAATGCAAAATGTTGAGATTAACTTCTTTTTTATTTTATTTTTTTTCCATCCAAGTTTAATGCGATTTTTCACGAAATCCTATATCGTTATACATCTGCTATAACTCTTTTCTTAAACATCTAACCCCGCATTCTCCTTCTTGACGATCAGGCAGCTGTTGGGGGATCTGAAAACAAAAGGAAAACCCAACGTGACAAAGGAACTGTCAAATGAATCTGTGAGCGGTCTAGATAAATCTAATCCTGCTCTGTGATTGGCTACTCGAGCGGGAAAGATGGCGCTATCTTGTCCGCTCGGGACTACCTGCTGTGTCCTGCAAGAAAATCGTGTTCTTTTTCCATATGAAAAAAAATCCTTTATTGACTTAGCTATGTTGGCCTCGTTTGTCCGTCTCGGTCCATAGAAACGCAAATAAAAGAACTTGGCCAATATCTAGCCATCTTGACCTCACGCTTAGTCGATAACCCGTATGTATACATACATGGAGAACGGCATATCAAAGAGTTCAATTAGATCCCAGTTTCAATTTGTAACTACTCTGATATTGATAAGGCAGCTTTCAATTTAGCATGGTCATACCAAAACCAGTATAATCACTCAGGCCAATCACAAAGGACACAGACAATCTGGTGAACCAATCGAAACTTGAGCGCGTTTTTTTTTTTAAGCCAATCGTGTAGCTTATAGTAACGTAAACCAATTACTTTTCAACACTCAAGTGAAAACCGCTCTAAAAAATGGAAACGTTATTTCGAAAGTAACCAAAACCTCAAATACCTACACTAGAGCCTTAAAAGTGGACAACCTTCGTATACGCCTGGTACCCAGAAACATTCTTAATTCTTACCGAGATCAAAGAAGTCAAGCCTCAACCTGTCCTCTGAACATTCCGGCCAGTACAACAAGCTGACACCCTCACCAGGCCATCCTCCATTTGGGTGAACGCAGAAGTTATGCTTCAAATTCTTCAATGAAGAACCATCTGCCAATCTGAAATGACGAACAACATGACCAGATCAAATGAATGTAACTAGGATACTGGAAGCTTGTTCATTTGAGGGGTTAGTTGATTAAGATTTTATGGCATGAAACAAATTAAAGTGTTTTCTTTATTTTTTTTCACATGAAGGTTAACGGTTGAGAACACATAGTCAGGGACTTAACCACAAGGTTTCATTTATTAGCCCTTTATAACATTTTTGGCGACTCATAGCACTTTTGGATTGACATTTTTCCCCAACGGAGTTAGCATTTAACCAAGCATGCCAATGGGCTTCTGGCTTGGAGCCTTTTGGGGGTTTTGTGCAACATATTACAGTTCTCAATCTTTCAGTTCATTCTCTTTTTGAAAAAATCGGTATGAATAGGCTCAAAGGATACTTGAAGGCGATTTTGCTACACTTGTTTTTTGTCAAAAGAGAGCTAAAATTATCATTAAGTACTTCCCTCGAACACGGAATGATAAATGACGGTACATGTAGGTAGCAACTGAATTGCTGAAGCCGGAAACAAATTAAAATTAGTTTTTAACAAGTTTTCCAAGACATGACAGCAGAATTTGGAAACGTCTCTTTCAAGTTGACATCACAACTTGTGCAGGTGAAAATCATTCTAACTTTCCGTTCATTTCTAAGTACAATTTAGTAGAGTTCTTTTTCAACACAAACTAGGCCATAACTAAATTATTACCATCACTCATTTAAAAATACGTTTTTTGGATTTTGACTTTTTAAAGTCACCGTGCCCTTAAAATAAATTGCCGTAATTATGGACACACCTGACGTGCTTGGAAATGCTCAGATCGCATTTGTCCTTCAGCATAAGTTTCTTCCCGTAAGTAGGATTATTGTCTGAGGACGAAAAATACAAAATACACACAACAATAAACAGGACCTAATCATTTGCTTGCGTTATTCTCGTAAACTGATTTGAAAATAACCTCAGGTTTATTGAAGCATTTACTACCTTCTCAATCGACATCAGAGTTCACAACGAAATTCTCAAGGAGCTTTCACATCTTGACCGTCAAACAAAATGTCACTTTCTAGCCAAACAGACTTAAATAGAAGTAACCTGTTTCACTTATTTCATCATAAAATTTATAGGGACTCCAAAACATTTTACCAGTTATATTTAGCTGATCGTAAAAGACTTAGAACTAAACATATCATATCAGACGTACAACCCGAAAGCAACGGACGTAAGCAAAAAGACGTTGTGTATTTCTCACGAACTGTACTTTCACTCTTGCGGTGAGGATACTGTCAAGAAAAAGAACACTACAAAAAAAGCTGCTAAAACGTAGACAAAATAAAGCAAAGTTACCCTGGGGACAGATCACTTTCTTGCTGCACTTGTGATGGATAACGCCGTCCTGGTCAAAGAGGAAAATCATGTCGGTCGCATTACAAGCCCTGCCTCTTTTTTTGGTGAAGATGAGATAGGTGCCGTCAGGTGGAGAACAGCCTGCATTGTTAGGGGCAACACAAAAGTCGCCGTAGCTTCGTATTCCACTTTCTAGCAAAAAATAAAGCAGAATGTTTCAAAATAGCTTTTATCTGTTGAAAACCGCTTAAAATAAACAGATATTTCAATGCCTAAGTGTTGTCTAGATAATGCTATAATTTTACTTGTTCTGTTAGCTAGCAGCTACACGTTTCAGTTCTGCCAATTCAAATATTTGCACTAAAAACCCACGTCGAGGTAAAGACCCAAGTAAATCATTTCATTTCGACAAGATGAAAGTGTATACAAATGTTCTTCTAAAAGATTATGAACAATGATGACCGTATAGTTTTTTTACTGGTCCTTACCAACAAAACAAGTTTACCGTTTTTGTTTGTTAGTTCATTATTTCTCGCGTAATCAAAGTGTGTTCGACAAGGAAAATCAGGAAAGGAGATTCAATTCCCGGGACACAAATATAAGTAAATTAAAATGGGTCTCTTGTACATTAGCGTAAGTGGAGAAGGGCTACCAAACGTTCTTTACAAAGTGCTTACCAGGGCAATACATGCAGGGTTTTTCGACTGTTGTGTCCACGCTGGGATCGCACTGTTTCCCACCACAGCGCCGTTTAGGGTTGGTGCAGGTCTTGTGCCTTCTCTGTTTTCCAGGCTCACATAACTGATCGCATCTTCCCCATTCACTCCACTCGGTTAATCCGCCATCCACTAAAACATCAATATTGATGTTCAAAACGATTTACAAGAGTGTAGTTTTCTTTTTTTTTTTCAAAAATAGTTTCTTCTTTGAGGTTAAAACATACGTGTTCGCACATGATGAATAGGTTATCAACTGGATTTGGCACCAAAAATTAGTCGGCAATAAAAATTTATCTTACACATATGGAAATTCGGAGAAATGAATGAAATGAAATTTGTTAGGAAGGGGTGAAATGTTAAAAACTTATAATTACAATGAGCTACCCATTCCTAACCAAGTTATTGATCAACCACCCAAGTGTAAACAACTAGCAAGTAACTTGCCCCTTTTCTTGCGACCTTTTAATTTGAGTGTTTTTTCTTTTAGGAGGAAGGGTCACAAGTAGATTGGCGGGACTAAAGCAATCGTGACGGATTGGCCTGGAAGTTATCTAAAGTAATTGCGACTTTTTTAAAATTTCCCCTTTAATCTTTCAGTCTTTCATTCTTTTTTTTTACCTGGTTTTCTATCCTCGTCACAGTCATCCTCGTTCACCCAATACCAGATCACTCCGGGATCTCTCATTCCACCGTCCCAGATCCAGTCCGCTGGATGCCGATCCGTGCCACCCCATATGATAGAACCCGAGGGGTAGTGGGTGGGACTGCTGGAAGTAGTCAATAGAGCCTTGTTATGAGTTCCTTTGGCGTCGAACCAAGGCATTCGCTTGTTTAACGACTTCCACCATGAATACTCCCATTTGCTAAATTTTCTTATTAAATTCACTTTCGTTTGCTTGTCATTTGTTGCCATGAAGCTGGAAAAAGACAACAAACTAGTTTAACCTTCAGCGAAATAAATTTAAATCTGCAGTCCGATCAAGAAAAAATTTATCAATTGATGGACCTCAATAAATCTGATCTTTCATATTTCAGATAGTATTTTTCAATTATTTGCACAATTCACTGTAGTTTTACAATCCCACAATTACAATACATAACAAAAAAAGTCTAAAAACGAAAAAAAAAATCACCAAACTTGTAAGCAACACCCTGTGAACTGAATTTGCAAAACTTGTCTATTTTCTTACGGTTATTTCGTCTTACTGTCGTAGACTTCTGCAGGGGGTTTCACAAGCTTACACTAAACGCCTGTCTTTAAGCTAATTCAAGGAACACAAACGAACAACGATCTGGCCCGATTCGCGAAAGAAACTAGACGCGGCGGTGAAATATTTACAAAACAACAAGTATAACGACAATTCTTTATTCAAACACGATAGAGTTTTTGAGGCCGCGTTCTAAGCTAAAACCGTGGCCCTCAAGGCTTGTGAATAAACGGCAAGTTTCACAACTTCAGTGCACAGAGTGCTGTATCAGTTAACTATTTTAAAACACATAATTAAAGTAGTGTCCTAAAAACGTCTGTTGATGCCCTCTTTTCTGTATAGCTTAGCTCCCTTGTATAAACACACCGACTTTAAATCGAAGAAATTACTTGCCAGAATGGAAAATAGTCCAGCGCCGGAAAATTGCAGCAAAATAATTAGACTATACCTTTTTTACCAAAAGCGTCTACCGGCATTTTTAGCAATCAGTAACTGCAACTTCCTTTTACGCACTTTCATGTTACAATATTTCAATTGTAAGGTGTGTATTCGCCCTTTGCATCTTCAAAAACACCCGCATACAATCTCTTGAGTAGCGGCGACGTATAATCCTCCAACAAAGGTAAGTTCAAAAAATGTTTTTCTCACAACTAATTAACCTGTATGAGGTTGGAGCTTCAAAAATTCCTCCCCAGTGACGACGAGAATTAGCATCCATCATGTATTGGAAAGTTCCATTATTGTTGAGAGTTTTAATGCTGTCTGCTAAGTCCAATATAGAGTAATCCCGATTCAATCCAGGGTAGAGTTCATTTCTAATAACAAAAAGAAGTAATTAGTCGTCATGTTGCGATTATGTCATTATGAAATGAGGGGGTAAGTTTCTAAAGAAACTGTGGTGCTGCGTCGTTGGGGAATATAACATGATAATTTTGTTTTATCAACTGGGTTGATAATGTGAATTGGCCACCGCAAAGAGATTCGCAAGCTGACGTTTCGAGCGTTAGCCCTTCGTCGGAGCAAATTCGACGAAGGGCTAACGCTCGAAACGTCAGTT